ATTCCTGCTCTGCCTCCAGCTAAACATTTTGTTGATGTGTCCACTGGGTTTGGTTCTCAGGGTTTTATTGCAGGATGGGTGTGCACTAAAGCACTGTTTGAAAGAGTGACACATATCTGAATGTCTATCAGCAGAGGAATGATTAAATAAATGACAGGTCATTCATTCTGGAAATAGTACACAGTTGTTAAAAAGAATGTGGTAGATCTGCTATTACTGGGACAGAATATATGGTTAGACGAAAAAAGCAAATTGCTAGGGCAGTATGTGTTATATGATTACATGTTTGTAAAAAAAGTAAAGTAGGGCTTCCCTCGTGGCGCAGTGGTTAAGAATCCACCTGCCAATGCCGGGGACACGGGCTCAACCCCTGGTCCAGGAAGATCCCACATGCTGTGGAGCAACTAAGCCCGTGTGTCACAACTATTGAGCCTGCACTCTAGAGCCTGCGAACCACAACTACTGAAGCCTGCGTGCCTAGAGAAAGCCCGAGCGCAGCAATGAAGACCCAACGCAGCCAAAAATAAATAAATAAATCTTTTTAAAAAGAGTAAAATAAAATAGAACTATAAACATATATATATACACACACACACATAGAAAAAGTCTAGAAGGTTATTCCCTGAGGGGCATGTAATGGCTTTGTAATGAAAGAACAACAACGAAGTAAACTAAGTTCAGGAAACGTGGCATACAAGGGGGGAAATGGTTTACAGCTTTCCCCCCATTATCTCCTGTTCCTACCCCATTTCTCTCCTGTCTCCTCTTCCAAACAAAGGAATAAGAATGTTACTTTGGGGACTTCCCTGGAAGCCCAGTGAGTGAGAGTCCGTGCTCCCAATGCAGGGGGCCTGGGTTCGATCCCTGGTAAGGGAACTAGATCCCACATGCATGCCTCAACTATGAGTCTGCATGCCGCAACTAATAAGTCTGCCCACCACAACTAAAAGATCCTGCATGCCTCAATGAAGATCCCGTGTGCCACAACCAAGACCCAGCGCAGCCTAAATAAATAAATAAATAAGAAAGGCGATATACTAAGGAAAGAAGAAACATTAAAAAAAAAAAAATGTTTGTTCCTTCCCTTCTCAGGCTTAGAAAGACTGCAGCACGCATTTTCTTTAAGGAGGGAGGCCTGGGGCTGAGGATCACAAGATTTGAGATTTGAGGCTCCACCCAAATCCTAACCTACAGCAAATGAACTTCAAGATCTATTTGGCTCACTCACCTTTTTTTTTTTTTGTTAACCTAGATACCTGTTGGTTTGTTTGTGGCCCTTGTTCCTGGGCTAAATCTCCTATCACTGAGGCATCAGATCCTTTGCCACCTGAGTCTGACAACCTATTTATTTGCTCTAGCCCTGCCCAGCAAAGGGCGGCTCCCCCAATTCTCCTTTCCATGGGAACCCGCCCTGGAATTCTGCTCTCTTTCTCCTTCTCTTTCATGTGCTCCAGCCATGGGGTGGAGGGGCTGAGAGCAGTATACCATGACGGAAAGAATACAGGACTTGGCGCAATATCCTGCCTCTGCCATTATTAGCTGCGTGACTTTGGGAGAATTTCCTAACCTCTGAAAATTTCTTAACTTTCCTGAACCTCAGTTTTTGCTTCTGTAAAATGAGAATGAAACGTGCTCACAGGGTTGTGATGAGGAATAAGCGAGATGAACAACACTGAGCGTCTAACCTAGAGTGAGGACAACCTAGGATGTAGCTAGTGTGACTACGTGGCAAGGGATGGGCTTTACCCAGTGGGGTGGGCAGAGCGGACAATGCCTATTCCACCCCACTCTCCTTCCAAGAGGGCAGCTTAGCACTAGGCACGGCAGGCAACGTGCCTAGGGTCCACCATACTTCTAGGGGCCCATGAAAATGTTTTTTAATGATCTTAATTTCTTTTAAAATCAGAAGAAAAAATTGAATGTTTATGTCAAGGAAATTATAATATTGTTATATCAATCAATTATAAATATAACCATTAATGATTTTTTTGTATATTAATATTGTATTCTTCCTTATACCAACATAGTTGTAAAATACAATTTTTAACACATTACCTTTTTAAATGGAGGAATGGGCCCACAAAGTGCCAAGGGCCCCTGAAAGTTCTAATGTGGCCCTCACTTTCAGCCCTCTTAAAGGATATCTCCTTTACGAGATCTTTATAGATTGGGGCAAAGGGATGTGAGAGGGAGGTGAGGAAGAGACATGCAAGACCCTCAATGATCCCATTCTTCAAAGTACAAGCCCTCACCCTGTCTGTAAGTTCTCCATTTCTGTCCCTGAACTTACATTTGCTTGGACCCAGTGGGTAGGGGACTATATGATACGTCCTAAAATACCACTCCATTCATGTCATTTGTTGGGTTGAAAATGTAAATACACGACTCAACAACAACAAAACCAGACAATTGAAAAATGGTTCCCTTGAATAGACATTTCTCCAAAAGATATACAATTGCCAATAAACACATGAAAAGATGTTCAACGTCACTCATCATTAGGGAAATGTAAATCAAAACCACAATCAGACACCATTCACACCCATTAGGATGGCCACTATTAAAAATCAGAAAATAGGGCTTCCCCGGTGGCGCAGGGGTTGGGAGTCCGCCTGCCGATGCAGGGGACACGGGTTCATGCCCCGGTCCAGGAAGATCCCACATGCCGCGAAGCGGCTGGGCCCGGGCGCCACGGCCGCTGAGCCTGCGCGTCCGGAGCCTGTGCTCCACAACGGGAGAGGCCACAACAGTGAGAGGCCCGCGTACCGCAAAAAAAAAAAAAAAAAATCAGAAAAAAACAAGTGTTGTCAAGGATGTGGAGAAATTGGAACCCTATGCATTGCTGGTAAGAATGTAAAATGGTATAGTTACCCTGGGAAACAGTATGGCAGTGCCTCAAAAAATTAAACAGAATTACCACACTTCTGGGTATATACACAAAAGAATTGAAAGCAGGGACTCGAAGAGATATTTGTACACCAACGTTCAAGCAGCAGTATTCACAACAGCCAAAAGGTGGAAGCAACCCAAGTATCTATTGATGTATGAGTGGATAAACAAAATGATATACATTATATACATATATTATTCAGCCTTAAAAAGGAAGGAAATTCTGACACATGCTACGAAATGGATGAGCCTCGGAAATGCTATGCTAGTGAAATAAGCCAGACACAAAAGGACAAATTTTGTATGATTACACTTATACTAGGTACCTAGCCAAATTTATACAGATAGAAAGTATAATGGTGGTAGCCAGGGGCTGTGGGGAAGGGGGAATGAGGAGTTATTATTTAATGGATACAGACTTTCAGTTTGGGAAGATGAAAAAGTTCTGGAGATGGATGGTGGTAACAGTTGCACAGCAATGTGAGTATCACTCAATACTTAATACCACTGAACTGTACACCAAAAACTAATCAAAATGGTAACATTTATATTATGTTTATCTTACCACAAAATTTAAAAAAGAATGTATATAGTTCTGCTTTTGTCCAAGTCCTAATTTCTCAGCTGCCCAAGCAAGCATCACTTCTCTTCCCTACAGGCAGGTTTATTCTGTAGGTCCTCTGCCCTGTCCCCCAGAATACCCTCCAAGGTAAGCACAGTCTCCGTAGTTTCAGAAGTGGCGGCGCTACCTTTATCTGGAATCCCTGCTGCACCCCTCTTTGCCTGTATAAACCTCACCCATCCTTCAAGGGTAAGGGCTCCATCCCTTCCCCACTCATGAAGCCTGTACTAACTAATCTAGACGGCTGCCCATTTCTCCCTTTTCTTATCTCCTGCAGACAACTAAGGGTCTGAATTGCTACATCACCAGTCACAGAGGACACTGCCTTTGACTTCCCCTGGGGTTCTCACTCACCTGTTTCCACATCAGTAAAGCAGAGAATGTCTGTCCTAATGACCAATGAGACCGCATATAGAAACAAAGGTGTATAGACCAACCAAGGTTTTGTTCCTCCCTTACCCTAATTAACATGTAATGAAAACAACCAATGAATATCTGATGGTTTGTCCAGCTCGGCTTGGTTATGAAATGAAAGGTAGGAATCCATTCTCATTCTCTTTTTTGGGGGGGGAATCCATTCTTAACGTGAAGGGGAAAGAGGGGGGGATCCCTGACTAGGGAACAAGGGTAACGATAGTTCCGGGGAACAAGGGATTTTTGATGCTGGAGTGAATCATCAGAGGAGTGGAATTAGAAAGCAGGCAGAGGGACTTTCCTGGCGGTCCAGGGGTGAAGACTCTGAGCTTCCAAAGCAGGGGGCACCGTGGGTTCGATCCCTGGTGGGGGCACTAAGATCCCACGTGCCACAGAATTCCTTTCTAGGAATAGGTGGGCTTTTCTAACAAGCACCCAGTAATAATAACCGATGTTACTGAGTGCTTGCTAGATATGAGACACTGTGCTAGGTGTTTTACATGGATTATCTCATTTAATCCTCACAAATAAGGTACTATTTCCCCCATCTTACAAATGAGACTGGAGCTTAGAGGATAGGTCACGAGGTCACAAAGCTCTAAGTAGTAGCACCAGGAATCGGTCGAGGTCCATGAAACTTCAGATTCAAACTGCACTAAAGCGTGCACGCTGGTTCCCTTCTGCTTCCTCCCAGGACCTTTTCTGGTGTGAGGCAGGTGGAGAGTAGTGGGAGTCTTCCCACCTGGGCAGAGGGCTCAGGGAATTCCAGGACTGGGCTGGGGTGGGGCAGTTGAAGTGGGAAAGGCCTTCACCTACCTCCTGGAGAAGGCGTGGTTGGGAGGCTAGTCATCTCGGCAGGTGGACGGGCACCTGCAGGGAGGTGCAGATCTGTAGGAAGAGGGACAACGAGCGGGATGAGGTGGATGGGCCCATGCCTGGGGCTGAAGACGACCCGAAATCCCAGGGAAGCCTTTGGTGCCAGGTTTTCCTGAGTCCCTTCCCCAACTCTCCCCCCCCACCCCCAGCCCCGCCCTATTGAACGTCTATCCGGGGATCCTTTCACTGGGCCACCACATTTACCTAGGAGGTTTCTCAAGGCCTGAGAAAGTTAGGTGAATGTACGCAAATTAGCAGCGGACCCAGTTTCACCCAGGCGCGGTAACAGGTACCCGGTTCTCTCCCAGCCCGCAGTCTGGGGGGAGCCGTCCACTAGGTGTCAGGAGAGCGCAGGGAGGTCAGGCCCCCGGCCCAGGCTCTGGGCCGCCGCGGGGGCAGCGGCAGGGCCGGGCCGGGGAGCCAGGCGCCGGGCACCGGAGGGAGGGTCGTCAGGCGCCCTCAGGCCCGCCCGAGACGGCCGGTTGTCGGGGCTCAGCCCTCCGCCCCCAGTGCCCCCTCGGGCGTCCGCTGCAACGTCCGCACGGTCCACCGAGCCCCGCTGGCCGGGCCCCCGCGGCCGCCCACCACCGGCCCGGCCGAGACTCTGGCACCCTGGGGCCCTCGCCGCGTCCGCGGACGTCTGGGTTAGAGCCCGCGGCACCGCCCCCCGCGCCCCGACCCCTGTCCAGAGCCCTCCTGCGTTACCCGCGCCAGGCAGGGCTAGCTGCGCTTCGAGGGCGGCCCGTCCCGGTCACCGGTTCCGAGCCGCCGCGACGGGAGGCTCCAGCCGAGGCCCGCGCTCGGCCGCTCTCGGTTTCAGTTCTTGACGCGGCCGCGGCGGCTGCAGCGTGAGTGTGGGCGACCGGGCTCGCCTGGCCCTTCGGCCCTGCCCGGGTCCCCACCTCCGCGTGCTCACCTTACCAGTCGGACTGGCTGCAGGGGAAGGGCAGGCGCCGCGCGTCCTGCTCAACTCGACGGGGGCGGGAACCGCAGGCACCGCGGGGACCCGCCGGGGACCCAGAGCTGAGGAAGCAGCGCAAAGACGCTCAGAGTTATAGCTGCAGAGGCCGGCCGGGGGCGGTGGGGGGTGGGGGGCGGCCGACTGGGTGGGACAGGAAAAGAGGAGAGAAACCGCCCTCTGCAGGTTCCCTCTGCCCGCCGGGCCGCCTCAGCTCCCCCGGGAGGAAAGGCTGCTTTTCCTTCTCTGATTGTCACTTTACTCTCCATCCGGAGCCGCTTCCTCCCCCGCCTGCCTCGAGGCACCGGAGGGCACGGGATCAGAGTGAGCCCGGAGCTAATGGGATCTGTCCGCTTCCCCCCGCCATCGACGTTATTTGAATTTTCAGCAAATGTGGAAAATTACATTTACTTGCGTTTGCATATCACTTACGTAAATAGGTCTGTATCCAGAAGCTTGTAACATAAGCTAACTTAGTGGGCACACCCCGGGCCAGGGAGCGGGGTGTGAGGTGGGGAGAGGAACGTTGCCCCATTCGGATCTTCCTTGCCCGAATTCATCTGAGGCAGTGTAGTGTAGAGGTTAAGAGCGTTGTGGACTTTGGACTCAAACAGTCCCAGCTCCGCCGCTTCTTAGCTGTGTGACTTTGGGCAAATTACTTAACATCCCTAAAAGCTCTTCCCTCATCCCTGAAATGGGGGACTGAAAAATCATGCCATTTCATAGCGTGGTTCTAGCACCTGGGAAGCACATCAATTTAACTACTAATTAATGCCATACTTTAGTCACCTCTTCACTTGCTTCTTTCTGGCAGGAAATGTTCCCAAATTAATGAGGAACTCAATGAGTAAGGATGTAAAGTATAAACACAGGCTCTGGAATCTGCTCAGCTGTGTGATCTTAGACAGTTTTGTTTCATTTCTCTTATCTGGGGCAGTATCTACTGTGGGGATGGAATGAGTTAATATTGATACATTTAAAGCATTAGAAGCTTACCTGGCACACAGTAAGTGCTCAGTAAATGTTATCTTGGCTTCCTGTTTAGGGTTAGAACTCTTGTGGTTATTCTGTCTTCCCTCCCAGTGATACAGACTTCTATGCTTCTTATTCCTGGGAGGCAGTCTCTAGGTTTGGGAATCAATATTTATATAGATCGATAGAGACAGGAATTGTGCATGTTCATTTGGGAGACAAAGACTGAAAGAGTCTCAGAGAATGGGGGCACAGGGTGAGAAAAAAAGCAAAGAAAGAAAAGAAGGGAGGGAGGGAGGAAGGAAGAAAGGAAAGAAAGAAAAGAAAGAAAGCATAGTTGCTTTCATTCCTAAAGATGTTATGTGGTTGGAAAAAAAAATAAAAACAGAAAAAACAGAGTAAATTGACTAAATTCATTTACTTGAATATATTTTTAAAGGCACAGCAGTTATCAGTGAGGAAGAAGAAAGTTCACATGTGGGAAAACTACCAATCCAACCAAGGCAAAGAAAAGTAACATGTAGGCAAGGTGGATGTAAGTTAATAAAAAGGTAAGACTGGCCAGTCCTCAGATAAAAGAATACCCAAGAGAAAAAAGGAAATTCAAATCCTAACGGTTAAGTTGCAAAGGTGGACAACTGCTTGCATTTACTGACAAGCTGACCATGAATTCCAAGAAAAGTTGAGATTTTTCTTGTTATCTGGGTCAGTCTCCGGCATGGCATATTCCTTTATGTCTGAAGATTGTTAAGAACCACAGACTCTCATAGGCCATCCAGCCCAACTGAATACTGATTTGCTGTTACTTTTACAATTTAATTTGATGGCTAATCGTCTCTCACAAGCATCTTTTTTGTTTAAAATGTAACCTTAAAAGTTTTGCTGGTACATGATTTTAACCCTGTAAGCACACGCTATTCATTTTGAAAGTGTAAACATGCAGAAAAACAGGATCCAATATGCACATGCTCAGCACCCAATTTAGCATAAAATAAGCAATACTGTAAGCAGCATGTACTCTGCTCTTTGGGGTGTCCCATATATCCTGGATGTGCGCTGTTCCTAGTACTCTCTGGATATCTTATCTAGTCTGTCAGTATTGTCCTTCACATTGCTGGAAGGCAGGGACTGGGTGATGTTCTTGCAATTAATTCTAGATAGGGATGCATACAGAGAGATGATGAATGAAGCCTCAAGTGGTGGTGAGCTACCAGTGTTCTCCAAGGATTAAATGCTAAACTTCAGAAACTAGAACAGCCATCCTTGTGTTAACACACCTCCAGGGGCCTCAGGGCAGGGGATTAAGAGATATTCATCTCTGCCCAATTTTATCATCTTTCAGCCCGGTCTTGCACTGCTGCCAGGATGGCCGACTTCTAAGTCCTAGTCTAATTAAGTTCCGTTAATGCACTACCATTGGACCAACCACAACTTTACTATTTTGTAAGTTAGAGTAAACAATTTGGTCCCTGGCTGGGACTATCTACCCTAGATAAGCAAAATTATTACTCATGCCCAGCTTACTGGCCCTTTTCCCTATCTTCCTGGAGCCTCCAGTAGGGCCATATGCAAATGAAGTGTCAGTCTCACAGTTTAGTCCAATTTTCCACTTCATTTGTGCCTCTTTTGTAGCAGTTACCTTGAGTGCTTATCTCAGCACCACCAGACCATAAGTCCCCAGTACTCTCTGGCACACTCTCCAAAGAGGATCAGTTTCCTAGGAGATGAGGGCCAGGGAAAGCCTGGTAAAGAAGAGGCTCGAACTGGGTTTTGCCTTGGGAGGGGTATTCTAAGCAGGTCCTGGAGGACCTTGGACAGCCAGGAGCCTATATCCCTAGCATATCCCCGACGCTTCCATTAGCTCTGAGTATCACTGCCAACAGTAACTGAGTGCCACGGGAGTGGGATGCCTTCCTTCTAGGAGAGGAATTAAAATACAGGCAGTGGGGCTTTTATAGGGGGATATGCAACCTCCTCTCCATTACAGCAGTAGAGATCCTTTGAAAGTTTTTAAATGGAAGAGGAACAGGATTAGATCTTAGAAAAATGACTCCTAAATACAAATATGCCTTACCAGCTCCCTAAGGGACATGTCTACTGAAAAGTCATGCAAGTTCTCAAGCTCTTTGTATCAATTTTTGTATGGGACACCCAATAAACTGTCCATAAAGGGTACAAATTGATCAGTTTTGACACGTATATACACATTAAATTATCACCATAATTAAAATTAGGAACATTTCTATCACCCCAAAAGCTTCCTTGCGTTTCTTCGTAACCCCCCCTCCCTACTCCCACCCCGTATCACCACCACCACTGGTCTTCCTGTCACTGTAGACGCTAATATGCCTCCCCCCAAACTGGGCCAGTCAGATTCTTTCTCCAGGGAATCTGCATCTGGAAAGGACACAGTGGCAGGAGGCAGCTGAAGCTGAGTCTTCCAATGACAGCTGCCTGGAGGGGCAGTCCACACGTTCCTGCTACAGACATCCCAGGGTTCTTTCTGCAGCCTGGTTTTCAGTTCTATGAGCTGCGTAATATCCTTCCAACGTATCTTTTAGTGCTTAACTGTGTCAGTTTGTTGCTTGCAACGAGAAAACTCACATATAATGCCCTTCCTCCTATAGTCACCACTTCAGGAAATGGCACCACCAAATTCTAGTCTCTCACGCCTAACCTAGAATAATTCCTTAAAACTTCAGTCTTGGGCTTCCCTGGTGGCGCAGTGGTTGAGGGTCCGCCTGCAGATGCAGGGGACATGGGTTCATGCCCCGGTCTGGGAGGATCCCACATGCCGCGGAGCGGCTGGGCCCGTGAGCCGTGGCCGCTGAGCCTGCGCGTCCAGAGCCTGTGCTCCGCAACAGGAGAGGCCACAACAGTGAGAGGCCCGCGTACCGCAAAAAAAAAAAAACTTCAGTCTTCATCACGCCTCCTCTCACTCATTGCTAAATCCTGCCTGTCTGCTCCCTGCTCAGTATTCTGTCTCTATAACGTTTACTTTTTTTCCTCGTCATTATTTCTCTAGTACCTAGTACAGTGCTTGA